GAGTTTCGTGAAAGACAGGGGATACATGGGAAAGGTGTGTGGTGATTGTATATTGGGTTTTCTGTGTAACCCGTGCTTGTAATGCGTTGTGGGCGAGTGTGTGAATACAATATGGGGGACTGAAACGTGTGTTGTTTCCTGAGTGTATAATCCTCCTCCATCAAATACTGGTCTGGCCTTCAGACATTACAAGGTGTCAACTCCATGTGTGGTGACAGCGTTTACCAACAGCGCTTTTTTCAGTCAGTTGCGACAGAAATGTCCCAAACTTTCTCTGTTCTTGGTAAATGCAGCAAAGGCTGGAAAGGTGCTAGATTCCATCCATGCAGAAGAATTGCTTGACCTCAGTGCCCATGCAAGGAATGCGATCTGTCTAGCTGCAGCCTCTTGTTTAAAACAGTACAATTAGCAACTCAGTGCTGCACACTACTAGATGTCTTTGTCGCTAATTAATGATGCTACTAAATCTATTGCTCTAGAACGCCTGCACATCTTGGTATTACTATGTCTCATTTAGCGACTGTCATAATGCAAACGAAAGCTGGAGAAACCTCTCCTAAGTGCGCATTGTGGAGACAAGACACTCTGGAAAAGCACCTGCAGATTAAGTTCCTGGAGGAGGTTATTGCAAGCAGTAATGAACCAATGTCTTTTGATATTTCAAAGAATAAAGTTTGCAGTTTTAAATATTAAAATGAGGAGCTATATGGTAACCTTATGGTCTTTATTAGTGTAATTAAAGGAAAGAGGGGGATAGTACCAGCTGCTATCAGTACACAAGACGTGGAAGGAGCTCTGATCATGAAAGACTTAAGGAATTCAGTTCTCCATTACAAGCATGTTTGCTATGTACTTCTTGTATGTAGTAAAATGATAGCTGATGTCTGTAGTAGTTTACAACTGTTCTGAGTCCCATGTCTGAACTGTGAGAATGGTTAATTGAAAGTTTTTCACTGCCCTAAAATTAATCTGTTTTTGTCTAACTAAAGCAACTCATTTGGTTCGGAGCCACATTATTTATTTTGTTATTACACAATAAATCTTAAAGAAATCCTTTTTGAATTGTAGGCTGGTAACAGACAATATTGATCTGGCCGTCCAGGCAAGACATCAATCCAGCAGCCAAAGGAACACGTCCTGGCACCAGACTAATACTTACGCTTTCAACAATAGAGTCCAGATTGATGGCAGTCTACAGAGGCAAGTACCACAGAAGAATATGGAAGACCTTGAGATGGCAAAAATACTTCTAGGCGCAGAAGTTCAAGAACATTTGAAAGAAAGTTTGGTGCCGTTGGTGCTTCGAGTCATTACAAAATACCACCCTGCTTATAAAGAATTTTCTGTAGCAGTTGAACATCACCTCCATCACCAGTATTCAGCAGCAATGGCAAGGAAAACTGAACAGGTACTGATACGGTGTATGTGGGTTGTCTTAGTTCTTTATCAAGTTTTTATTCTCATTTCAAGACATCATTTGGCTCTAATAAGCATTACATTCCAACCATTCACCAAAGTGGTAGCCTGTACAAGGCGTTCGGATACTAGAGGGTGGTGTGCTGTTTTTTCTGTTCACATCTCTTTGCACTGTCCCCACGATATGAATGCCTTGAACAGGCTACCAAAGTGGAGGCTTGTGTATTTCTTTTAGAGGGCATGAGAATGGTAATACCAAAGATTTTCTGTAGCATTCTGGACATACCTGTATGATGCGAGCTTTCATTTGATAAGCCACAATGTAGCAAAATCTTTATGTAATCTCATCCTTTAGTGTGATTATCAAAAAAAATATTGATTTAATAATGTGTTAAGGTTACGGGAGTTAATAAGCGGATCACGTAAAGCAAATGCTCAGATCTTTCACCATTATTCTCTTCCCATTCCCCCTCAATTTTTGATCGCTTTCTTTACTTTGCACCGTTAACAGCTGAAAATATTACGTGCTTTGGATGTTATGCAATGCAAGTTGCAGTGCAGGATTCAAGAACTTTCAGGTACTTTGGAGAATCTGTATGAACGAGAAGTCCAGAGACTCTTACAAAGCCAGTCTCAATGTGATGTGCTTTGTGCAAATGGTAAAGCTGAACTCATTAAGGAAATGGACACATTTATCAGCTTTCCCAAGATTTGACTTGAGACAGGATTTGTCACAAAGTGATGTGAGTGGAGTATTAGCACACTACCTGTGAATACAAGGGAGCAGTGCCCCCTCCTTTTTAAGGTTTTGGACACCTTGGTACTTCACAAAACTGATGAAAGGAAGGTGTCAGAGATGCGAGTACGAAGTGCTGTTCTTTCTCTATCCATATTGCTCAGCTTGAAAAGTCAGAAAATTCAAAATGATTTTAACATCTTGTTAACTTGTGTGTATATCATTTGGAGCTGGTATGCGATTTTTTGGAAAGCTGAATCATCTTGGTTTAACTGTTAGCTGGGAGAAGGCAATGAAGTTTTTTGACAGCCAGAAAGCTAAGAAATAAGAAATTTCTAAGCAAACTCCTACAGATTCTCCAGTAATGTTAATGTTTGATAGTTTGATATTACCAACATGTTACAGAGGAACGCACAAACACCTGCGGCTATTTAAACACATTGGCCCTATGATGTGGAAATTAATAGGTCAAGCTGTACTGATTCCAAATGTAGAGGGCTTAGAAAACATCCTCCAAGACAAAGATGCCTCAGTGAAACTCAGCAGAATTTGCTTCTTTTAAATTCCCAATGACATCTGTATCCAGAGTGATCAAGGAAAAACAAGATGTTTTCGAATGTGCTGTTGATGCTTTTTGGCTGTAAATTCTTGATGATGCATTGAACAAACTGCCACCAAGCAGAAAAAAGCGTAAGGACATGACTGAATCAGAACTCAATTCTTTCATTTCAAATGCTGACTGGAATACACAAGCAAGATACCAGATCAAAGTCCCACAGGATACTACCCTCTTTACTAATAGAAGTCCACTTACAAAGAGTAATGTCCATGTTTTACCTTTATCTCTTGACGATAACAACACAATTGTTGGAACAATGAGCATTGTTGACTAGAGTACCTTCCATTTGATTCTGTGTCAGGTACATTTGATGTTCACTCAGGTAGATCTCACTTTAAGTTGCTTATTAGTCAGCACAACCATCAAAGTAACATGGGCGAGTTGAAAAGGAAATTCTGGAGCTGAGAAAGAAAAATTGATATGGCTATTGATGAAGAGTTGGATACTGAAGAAGAGTGTCCAGGGAACAGAAAGTTCCTCGAAAACTCTTGAGAATGAGCGTCAGCGGTTTGAAACAGAGGACAAACCTTTCGGGGAGGTCTTCAACTCTATGTACTTCTAAGCTGTCTGACACAATTACATCAAACAGTGAGGAAAGCTACCAGGCCTTTGTTAACAGCCCTGAGCATACCTGAGGTAAATGTAAAAGACCACTTGAAAAGACCCCTCCTTCATGTCGCCGTAGAACAGGGCCTTGAGAGTTTTGCTAAATGTTTGGCTGACATGGGTCTCGAAGTGAATAGCAGAGAAGGATGTGGCATAACTCCCTTGAGTCTTGCAGTGTGACACAAGAATACAGCCATTTATAAATTCCTAGTGGAATCAGGAGCAAGATATTCTGGTCCATTGTTCCATTGTGCATGGCTGAAAGGCTGAAGCAAGCTGAAATTTTGAAGATAATTTCTGAGGATCAGGATGAGTCAGAAGATGAAAATGAATTGATCCGTCTGATTGATAGCACATTTTCTAAAGGTAGCAGTAATGGAGCGGACAGAGGTTAATCGTTCTTGTCGTGGATTTGTCACGCCTGTTGTTGGGGATGTAGAAACTTGCAAGACAAACAGTGCTGCTATGTCCAGGTAAGGTTCCTATAGATGGGTTGGTCTTTGTCCTGGTGACCTTCATAATAAAGGCTACTTTTGTGAAGCAGCATTCAAAGTCCATGGGTCATCAATTCTTCATTTCATCTTGCTAGAGGTTATGAAAAGAGAGAAATTAACCTCTAAAGTATTTAAGAACAAGAAGTTTCAGGAGAATAACCTCATCCAAGTAAGGGAGGCAATCCGTGATGTCTGCAAGGCCTAAGGCATTGCTGCAGCTTTGGAATTTACAGAGGGTGAGTAATTTCCAATTCAGCAGGAATTGCGGGGTTCTGCAGTTGTGAGTATGCTACTTTTGGACAAATTTAAGGACTGGATTTCAGAATCATCTGAAAATGATGTTTATTTCCAACACCAGTCAACCACACGTCTTGTTCATGGTCCAATTCAGAAAATGTACGAAGTTGTGTACCAAGCACAATTACCAATTTATGCGCAACTTGGATTTAGAAATTTTTACACAGAAGTTACTCGTCATGTTCTCAATTTCCTTGCAAAATGGCCACTTGCAACAAGGTTATTGCAGCAGAACTGTTCTGTCAACCTTAGTGGCAAAAAAAGACATGGTATTGAGCTTGATGGCTTTGTAGAATCTGAAGTTGTGAAGTCCCTGAAGAAATATGCTAGTGGATGCACAACTGTGACCATGTGTGAAAGACTGATGGCAAACATTGACATGTTGAAAATGTTGAGAGCTGCCTACATGGGGAAAGAGCGATTTGATGTGCATTACACGTCACGACACTCTGAACAAACACCCTTTCCTTATCAGCTTAAGGGAGCATGGTTCTGTCTCCAACAGCGGCTGTAAGGAAGTGGAATCCTTCCTAGTTGATATGAAGGGAAGCACCAACGGAAAGATTCCTAAGAACCTGATCAATGTGGTGGAAAAGGAACTGGCAAAAATAAGAGAACTTTAAGGTAAAGTTCAAAATTTTAAATTGTTGGTAGGCAGGTCTAAAGTCCTTTCCACAGGTATCTATACAATGGACTTCATCCACAACAAACATTTTCAGTCTATTTTCACGTCTTAAAGCGTCCAGACAACTTTGGAAGCTGTCTGTAATTACAGCTTCAGGGCTAATAAATAAAAACTGGTACTGACAATCGGGCTGCTCTAAATTGTGGAGTATATTTTTTCTGTCGTCATCACTTAAAAGGGTGTTGTAGTAGCATGTGTTAATCCCATACCCCTTAAGTGTCGTAACCTGGACATACGTCAGCATCAAGATTGGTGAAATTATAATGGCCAATCCGGTTGCCATAATGCAAGAAAGTGTATATACCACTATCTTCCCACCACCAGTTGGTATGGCAACAATCACATCTTTGCAAATGAAATTTTTGAAATAGCATTTCACTGTTCTGGCCTGAAGTTGGTTTGGCCAAAAACACTCTGCAAAGCTTCCAACGGGCTCTTGGAACCGACTGTATACTCCCCAGTGAATACAGAATATTGGGCAAAGGTGGTGTCAAGTGTCTGCATTATGAAAATAATAATATTGATTATAAGTCGCAATTTCCTTTGTCTTTAAGTCTTAACCAGAAAGGAACTAATTAAGAAACTGAAAGAACATGACTTAACATTTAAATATAAAAGTAAACTATTGAGATACACCAAATTCACATAACTAGAAACTATACCATGGAGAAAAACTGTTAAAAATATACTCCACGAGTATACAGAACTGTTGATACCCTCCATCTTAGACTGACAATATGGTATGTTAAATAAAGGAACAACCAAAGCCAATATTCATTTACCCTCCTGCTTGGAATAAAACACTCGACGTAAATTTTGTCCAACGCAAACCACCTGTGAAAGCTTAGTCTACTAGTAGAGTTGCCAACTTCTTCCACGTGAACAACACATGGTCGGTCTCCAAGAGCTATCAGTTTCCCACAGTGGTGTAAAATCAAACCGTATAGCTTTGCCGCTTCCCTTCTTGTTTTGGCAACCATTTTGGCTCCAAAAACACCCTGTCTGTCCACGCTTACATTATGCTCTGGGTAACTACCAACCTACACAACTGCAGAAGAGAACAAACTTTTCATTATTCAATTAAATCGAAGGAAAAAAATATGCTTACGTATCGTGTTGAGGTAAGCAAAATAAATTGCTATTAACTGTTTATAAGCGAAATCTGCTTAACCGCGCGATGGCATCTGCTGTTTCCTTGCCGTGAAGTTGCTGGGAAAGGGTCTTGCATCGCACCTCGTCTACATCGATGTTTCAGTGCATAGTACGAAAATGCTGGATCATTCCAGCTCCCTCGGCGAAGAAATTAGTAACACTGACTTCCTGAAAACATTTCCAACAAATGGCTTTCCGCCTTGCTTTGCTCTCTGTAAAGTTTGTTCAGAAAGACACAGCTTCCTCTTCTTGTCGGACTGTATGTTACGCCATGTTGAAAATATTTGAGAAAAACCTCCTAGATCCAGTCTTCCTCGGAAATTAGGCGCCATCTTGGTTACATTATATGGCAGAGGCTCCCGCCTTTTCCCTCTTCCTGTCGTCCCACGCGCGCTTTCTATTTTTCGATTATTGCTATTTTTACTGTGATGCCCAGCGGGAGCCTCTGCGGAGGAGAGAGGGTGTACGTACAAAAATACTGGGTCGAGCCACCTTAAACTAAACCAACTTACATCATAACAAACCCAACCATGGCAAATTTAAATGAAACCAAAACAAACCTAACTACGACAAATTCAACGAAACCAACTCACGTATGAAAAAGCCAAATCGCATCAAAACAGATATAAACTG